GTAATTTCAAACCGAGCAGCACTGCTTCCTTTTGAAGTTTAAATTCATCGAAAAAGTCCTGCCAGACTGTATTGGAAACTGGCATGACACATGCTGACAGCAATTATGAACATGGCTGGAGGTTATAAAGCGAGAGGCATGAAAGGTCAGGCATAAAGTCTTCAGTGTACCACACAGAGAGTCTGTTTAGACTCTCCTAAACCCAATTGTTATGGTCGTTTTTGGTGCAAAGAGACTGAATCTTGTATGTATTATGATGCTTTTTATTTTTACCCAGAAACACACGAGCATCACTCAAGGACTTGGAACACGGGACCCTCCAATCTGAATCCATGATCTGATCAGAGGACAGAAGTAAACACTTTCCAAACGCCATCTGAGCATGTTTGACTTGCCAAAATGGATGAGCTCCCTGTTTGATTGCATTACACTAATAGAGATCCTTCGGAGGATGTAATTAAGTGAAGTTTATAGTCTTAGATTAAAGCATCCTCTAGATCACAGGCAATGTTAATGGAGTGATGCATTTTCGCTGGAAACCAGATGGGAGCCCATCACAACAGAGCTAAACATCACTGGGTGCCCTAATGGGCATTAGCATGCAAAAAGGAAAACATCTACATAATGAATGACTCAAAAGACACACTGAAAATATGCCAGGACCAGGGAAAAGGAGTATTTTTCTTCAAAACGTAACCGAACGGTGTTTATTACTGTAAAATCTCCAGACGTAAATACGGAGCAGTCATGAGTTCTCAGTGCGTCTTATGGGTGATTTATTTTTGCTCCATAACTGTTAATCTCCCCCTGTTGATGTCATTCGGACATTATTCACTGTGCTCAACTATTCTCACATGTTAACTTCCCTCGGGGAGCTTTCATTCACTCCCAGGGAGGCTCCAACATTTCCAGATCTCTGTCCATCGAGAATCAAAACAAAATGGAGCCAGGAGGTGGACGGTTTGTTTGCCGGAGTTTTTTCGGAGAACAAAACAGAAGGTGTTGACTGGGATCAACTCCCAGACATCAGTGGAGTAATTATTACACAACAATTCATTAATTAAAGCCTGATCTCCCCGTCTGATGCCAGATAACTGATCATTAGCACAATACAGCCCTCTGTTATGGACTTTCAAGGAAGCAGAGATCCACAGAGTCTTGTTGAAAGAAGCCTTTCAGCTTTAAGAAAGAAGTTTATGTTCGGATGACAGAGTGTTCTCACGATACGTCCCAATAATAATCAAATGGGGAAAATAAGATGTATAAAAAGAAATGAAATGGGAAATATTTTCAGACATCATCCCAAGTGAGTTTTTCAAAGCTGAACATACTAAACAAATCGTCCAGGATTAGAATTAGACGCTCGCAGCGTAAACTTTAATCCAAAAACGCTCTCTGATGACATCATCTCTCATTAATTGAGGGCAAAGCAGTTTTCCTCTTGTTTAAATCTAATCAATGACTCCATTTCTGGCGTTTTCTTGGGTTTAACCAGCAGTCAGTGTGTGTTGAGAGGATCCGAGTTAAGGCCCCAAACAGAAGCTGTGAGCTGGGATATATTTTTAAAAATAATAACGAAAAACGTGGCCAGGTTTGAGCCAGTAAAACAGAACCAAACAACAACAAGAACAAGCCCAAAACTATCCAAAACGAGCTAAAGTTTCAGGTCGTTGGAACCAAGACACTTTGAGGAAAGGCAAACAGGCTTTTCTTGGAACTTGAATACGTTTAATCTCCTCAATCATGGATTTCAGAGAAACTCAACCAAGCTCTAAGTGAGAATTGATAAGTAGGTTCAGACTGGAATGATTCTTTCTGCTCATAAACTTAGGAACAAAAGCCATGCTATAAGTTTAAGGATCTCTGGAGGCTGTTTAGGAGCACAGGGCAAAGGCTAAAAGGACAAAAAAAAAGGCCCTTTCTCAGATAAATATGGAGCCATTTGTTTTGGTAATAACACAGAAATCGTATCGCAAAAGGATTTAACCAATCAGTCAAAATCCTGATTTAAAAAGATAACATGAACGTTCAGAGCTGGAGAAAAAAAGCCAGGAAGAGAAGAAATTAGAGCAGTTTTCTATCCAGCTGAATCCTTTTTATTCTTCCAAACAAATTAAAATGTGCCCAATCAATGAGGAACTCTTAAAAGGAGCCGACTGACTTCAATAAGAAGCTAAACCAAAGCAATCAGTTGCACTTTTTCTCTGATTAGCAGCAGGTTTCTGACAGCTAAAGTCAGCTTCTACTTTTGACCCTCCACTTGATGGACATTTTGTAATCAACGTTTTTTTCCAACATCTGTTTGATAGATTAAGCTCAAACCTTTTAAATACAGAGAGGGGGGAGGACAGTGAAGAAATTGTGTATTTCTGGTGATTTTTAGGCAGAATAAACTCATTTAGGTTTAAATCCAGACTTTGGGGGATAGGCTGAAATCTGAGTGGAGTCGGGGTTCCCACTTAACCCTTTAAAGCCTGATCCAAGAATAAAACAAAACAGAAAATTACATTTTTGGGGGTTTTAAGTCTTTATTTGGCCTTTTAACAAAATATGTAAAAAGAGAAAACAGAAATACATTTTAATATTAATAATTTATCACTATGCGACAAGTCAAGATTATTTTTTGTGTAGTCTTCTGCCCCCTGTTATCAGGTGTATCTGATTATGTACAATAGGATTTTGAGCAAAGTTTTTACCATTAAATTACGCAAAAGGTGTCAGACGCAAAACATTTCAGAAACCGTATGTATCAAATATTATATATTATTATATAATATTATAATATGATCCATTTGGCATTACGGGGTTAAAGGATTCCACCTTTATTAGACCAGGACCCGGGGCTCACATGTGTTGGGGCCACCCAAAACTGCTGAACAGTCACTCCTCAATATTAACTTTTCCAGTCAAGCGAATCAGGTCTGAAACAGAGTAACATTATATCTGCAAATAAATTGCACTTTGGTGGCAGATTTATAAATATGAAACAGACTCCGTGGCGTTTTATAACAGCCTCTTGTTAATAAAAAAAAGTGGAGTCTCTCCATGCGATGAAAGAGATCCTATGTGTGTTTGCACAAAAAATCATCCTATTTCACCTCATTAGTCTAAAAAAAAATTTGATATTGAATTAATTATCTGTAAATAATATGCCATTTTTGAGTGTCTGTGCTGTACTAGTGACTGGTGGCGTATTCATGTAATAATTATAATTTGTATATAATT